AAGTTAATTTATACTGTAGCTTCATATTTTATTTTTTTTCCCTTTTTGAAAAAGTTTCACTGCAAGTTTTTTTTATTCACTTTTGCCATAAGTAAGGCTGCACCTTATCAATGTCTCTAGTAACTCCATATTTTCAGTGCAATTAACATCTTGCAATAGAGCTCAGATGTATTTATCCACTTTATCGAAATACAATATGTATGCATTTTAAGGTGTTATCTGGTTTATTTAATCATATTCTACCTAAAAAACTGGGATGAAACATGACACACTAACACTGATTTTTTGTAATGGTAACTGACCCTTTAAATATGCACCCGTGATAATAAGTCTTATACAGGAATGCACAAAAGACAACTATCTGTATCCATATACTTCCTGTTATTCCTGCTTCTAAGGCCTCACCAGCCTTATGAACCATCAGATCAAGAAAGAAGAATTAGGAAATACTCTCTAAGCAGTTGTATGTAAGTTGATCAGTTTGGTCATTTTGGACGTCTCAATATAGTAAATCATAAGAATTGGTTCACACAGTAGTTCTTTTAGAAAGTTTTTCTCTGATGAGCCATATCAACAAACATCGTCATAACTTTAGCTACAAACTCAACATTCAACAATTATATTTGAGGATATTTAGAAACTACTTTCAGCAATTATACCTGTTCTTAAATTTCTAATTCAATTTGAAATTTAAGCATACTTTTCATTTTAAATCATAAATTGCTTGGCACATGGTGTTTTGTTTTGTTTTTAATGAGACCTTATGTAAGATCTATTTTAGCAATGTATTCTGTATTCATTGTTTAAAATTACCCATAAAATAATAAAAGGTATTATTAACAACATTACATTAGGATGTACATTAACTACTTTTTCATTACAACTGATAACATTAATGCCAGGTATGAAATGTTGAATTACTTTTAAGTTTTATTCTTATCATGTAACTACTTTATAATATTAATATATACAGTAAAAACAGTTGAGTAGGTTATAGGCTGTTTTAGGTTTATGATTTTACAGCCTAAAAATTTCCAATAATCTGCTACTGTACAGTATGTTTACAGCAACAATTTTGTGTTTAATCTGTCTCACTGATTAACAGGATATCAGAAAAAAGACAGAATAAGAAAGACCAAGCAGTCCAACTTCAAGTTAAAGAAGTTCACAAAAAACAAATGTGAATGTATGGATATGCTGGTACAATATAATATATACTCATCTGCTGTGCATCCTGTAACTGAAGTCATATGAAATATAATAGACATTAGCAAAGAATACACTTATAGAATATACAATACTATATCATTACACTATTTTGTTAAATCAGGCCAATGGGAAAAGTTTGAAGCTTTAAAATAATAAGCATGCAATGCACAGGGAGAACTCTGTTTTTGTGTGCCATGCAAGAGAATAAGTTATTTTGAAGAGAAACACACTAGACAATTTCGCAAAGCTGGCTACAGACACACGGATACATGATCCATAATTAGTTTGCAAATGCTTCAATATGTTTGAACTATACGTCTATGTGATCTCATTACTCCTGGATGTGCTTCAACAACAAGAAGAGATATGTTAAACATCTCACTGCATGTATGTTTATCATTATAATGCCTACTGTTCAAATAAAGACTACAGCTACGAGGAGAATATACCCTCCTATATTTTCATGATGCCTACAGTACATTAGTTAATTGAAATTTTGTTTACCAGTACAGGGAAGCATTCTTTCCTACATCAAATCAGAATAAACAAAGGAGTTTTGTCTGGATTTCCCATTGTGCTTTGTGTATTGACTGCAGCCATTTTTTAGACCACAATTCTTAATGTTTTCATACAATCCATGAACATGCTTTTCTCTCAACAGATGTGATGGTAGGAAGCTGTGCAGGTAGTGCTGTTGTAATACAACACTGCGTCTGCATGTGAAATAATGATAGATATAAAGTTTTAATATAATTAATTATATGTAATGAATATAGCTCAGTGTTGTTAAAGTTAGCCAAAAGAAAGAGCAATGCCAACTTGGTACGCCACAGGCAGATATCTGCCAAATAGCTGCTAAATATATATACTAAAAGTAACACCAAAAACTGAAAAAATAGAGGTGTTACTGGAGCTACTTTGTTGTACTTTGAAGTCCTACTATATCACTCTGACTGAAAAGTCTGTTCAAAGCAGGTATTTCTCTTTTTCTACAAAGCTGATCACATATGGTGTCCCACAAGGCTCTGTTTTTCATCTATTAATTATTAGGATCTACAGTATATGTTTCTCTCGAGTCAGATTCTTCATAGGTAAAGCATCAGATATTATTTCTATGCTGATAACATCCAGATTGATGTTTGCACCTACCATTAATCAAATCCTATCTGTCCTGTCACTGTGCTTAAATGATGTTAAAAACTGAAGCAATAATACTTTTTACATCTGAACTTTGAAAGGACCACATTATCTGCTCCTTATCAACTCCGCACACTTTGGCTATTGATAGTCTTAGTATAGCATCACGGACACAGGTCAGGAACCTTTTATACAAGCTTGCACTTGAAGCTCATGTTTGAAATACTGTGAAGATGTCTTTTTCGATCTTAGCAGCATTGGTAGAAATCCTTTCACATCTCTCCCAATCTGATACAGAAAGCAAACCATGGTTTTATGTTTTCCAGGCTTGAATAGTTATGAAGTGCTTGCTGGTACCTGCAATTATGTTCCTAAGTTGCAGTATGATCAGAACATAGTGGCACAGAACTTAACTAAAATTAATTAAAATAAATTACTCAGAATGGAACTCAAAATAATGCAGTTCATCTTTAAGGGCTTTAGCACCGTAGTAGAACTCCTGTGAAGCTAATCAATTAACTGTTAACACTTACAGTATACATTTTGAGCACACTGGATTCTTTCAAGGCCCAAAACCATGGGAGACCATGCTTTCTTTAATGTTGCACCAAGGCTATGGAATGATCTCTTAGCTCATATCATCAGCACTTGAAATCCTTTCTTAAAACTTTTTTATTCCAGCTTTTAATTGTTTAGTTTACTGTATTGACTCATCTACACTATAGCTGTCTCTGGTGTTGATTAATCAAAAAGCGACTTCAGAAAACATATAATGAAAGGCACTATTTAAAATTAATATTATCATTATTTAAAATGAATTAAATGGAATTAAAAATAAACTCTTTGCTGTTAATGGTGAAATGAATGGGAGTTCATCACAGACACAGTCGATCACAAATTACATTATTTACCCCATAATAGTATTTTGTTAAGCAAGAATGGTGTATCAAAGAAAATATCCCAAAGATACTCGCAAAAAATATTGGTTTTTTTTCCAGTTTTGAAGATGTATCTGTAAAAATGAACTAATTAGCAAAACTATTAACTCATGATGTAAAGCTCAATACATCATAATTCTCTAGCTTCAAGACTCTCTTATCATCAAAATTCTCAAAATGCAGTCTACACAACCAGTCAAACATATTGTGATGTATCGGACACAACAACACATACAGTACTTAAGTTTCATAATGCCTTTTTTCCTGTACCACGACTAAAACAAGCATGACTAAAACAAGTCAAGATCACGCCTCATGTTCGGTTCATTATTGCATGAAGCAGCTCTGAGCCAACACTGGTTCCAGTTCTTATCTGCAGCAGTGAGACATTCAGACATCAGATTAAGGGTGCAAATGCAACAGGAGATACACATCAACAGTAAATATTAAGGTTGAATCAGTGTGGGTCTTTCAATATAAAGTATAATTTGATCAATATTAGTAGTGAAGCCTATTCATTTGTGTATATATAAAACTGTTTAAAGCAAAACAAATGCTGTAAGACATTGTTTTCCTGCTACCTTCAAGTCTGACTCAATGACTCTGCTGATTGTACCTGTATACTGTATATTTGCTTATTTTTAACAAAACGCAGAAAATCTAGAGCAGATAGCAGCTGAAATGAAACATGTAACAAATCAAAATGTCCTTCCTCTTAAATAAAGCAACTGTTCTAACTTAATTTTCTAACAGATATTGTATCCCATTGATGCTCTCAACAAGAAGTTAAGCCTTGAAGGGAACAAGGCAACTGCTCAAATCCAAAGACAATCAAAACAGAAAAATAAAATATTAACATTTCTCTTCTTGTTAAAATAAAGCATTTGTGTCATTGTTAAAGCTACGGTTGTATTTTAAGCTATCACTGTTGGATCACGTTGGAAAATATTTGTTTTATTTGTATATCTCTATATAAACTTTGATTGTAAAGCTGCAACGCCACGCCCACATACTGCAAAAGTGTGCCTGAAACTGGGAACGCTTGTTCGCCACCTTCCTTCACTTCCAGCGAAAGACATCAATCATACAATATCGCCCGAAAGCACAACACGGACTGCAAAGAATGATTTACATGAGGCATAATACTAAGACTGTAAAACTGTATACAGGAGGTCGAGGATGGGATTTCCTTTTAGCTTCTGATAGCAGCTATTGAAGCCGAAAACAACTCATCTTTTCCGTGCCTTTCAGCTACTGATGCTTGACTTCACATTACAACTTAAGACCGGATTCTAAAACGTGTAAACAGCAACAATATTAAAATAAAAGGTGAAAAACTCTCAAGGAAATTATTTACGGTAACTTTAATTAATCTGCTCCCATCCAAAGGACACCTCTTACGACCAAACCGCTTTGTTGTGCTTTTAAGTTTGTAACTGGTATCTAAGGCTACGCATAACGGCCCACTCTCTTTTGCATTTTAAACTTTGCTGACTTTGACCTTTCCTGGAAAAACAACAAGAACGCGAGAGAACATAATTTTCGATGACATCCAAGTTTTAGATTTAAAACTGTCGTCGTTTTGTACAGTGCATAAACAGGAGTAACACTCGATAGCACGAACTACACACATGAACTGTATAGTATACAGTATAGGTTTGCCTTAATCAAAGCAGCGGTACGTCGATGGCTACATTACAGTATAGTACTACTCACCTTGTTTGACACATTTCAGCCTGATGGGATCTTTGCAGTGTTTGACAACGGCTAACACATCCCTGATGGTGAGTCCAGCCACTGGAGTATCATTGACCTCCAACAGTAGCTCATCCTGGGACAGTTTTCCACTCTGACAGACAACCTTGCCTTGCTTTATTTCTCCGACATAGGAGAACTGCCCATTCTCAGCGCCTCCTTTCAATTCAAACCCAAGCTCGCCTTCTTTATTCCTGCAAATGACAATTTCGTGGACTTTGTTGGTCCAGTGGCTTTTCTTTTTCAGGCTTTTGGACATGGCTGAAATAAATACTGCATGAGTTATTCATGCAATAAGTTCCCAGTACTGTCTGTGATATTGGATTTTGCTGCCCCAGTGGATACTAGGTTATTTTATTAATACTGGATGCTACTGGTAATATCCATGTCAGCCAGCCTCTATAGCAGCTGTCTGGGGCTGCGTTACACTGTAACTGTGAAGCTGGTTTACACAGAGTTGCAGGCAACTGACCCGGATGTGATGTCTGGAGGAGAGAGGCAGGGCTCTGAATCCCTCCGCAGAATAGCCAGGAGGAAAGATAAAGAGGCGGTGCGTTTAATTTTAATACTGAGGGATTAAGCTTGTTAACTGAGAAAGCAAACTATTCAAAGGGGAATCGGCGAGATGTGCTAGTGATGCCTGTAACAGACATATATAAAACGAAATTAACGAAGCAGATTTCTGACACATTTAACAATGGGGCGTTCAGGTCCTTTACAAATACACAGCATGCCACAATATTTTAATTCGTTAGAAATTCTTCTAGGAAATTTGCATCTCTCCCGTTTTAAATATCTAAAAATAAACTTGAATGCAGGGAAATAGCAAACGCTGTGTTAACGCGAATTGAGGGCATAATATATGTTTAAAACTGGGTTCCCAGATGTGCCATGGCGGTATCAGTGTTCCCTGCGTCTTTCTAGATGTACCTTCATGTATTTGCAATTCGTACATATGATGTCTCAGACATGTTGCCATTTCTAATTGATTACGATTACGTTTCTAAAAAAACACGTAAAGTATGAGCTTAACAGACTCCATTTAAATAAAGACCTACTGTATAGTTTTCGTTTGTTAACATGTTACTTTTAACAAAGAAGGTTACCTTACGCCCAGTAAGTAAAACCAACAGGACACATTGAAGCTTTCCATGCACACATAGTCCTCGCTTGGCTTCTAAGTGAATGAAGTTGTAAAATTTGGCTAACTACCTGCAGGTAGCTTGCCAAATTTTACAACTTCATTCACAGGGATAGTGGATGTAAGGGACTGGAAACAGCTTGTGGTATCTAATCCAATTCTAAAGCACTGTGATGAAAACTGTCGACAACGGTGTCATGCTGGAACCAGTCTTTCCAAATTCTTCCTAGGTGTACTGTACCTTCATGTACAGTAGTTGTAGTGAGTGTAATGAAAAGAGCTACTGTATTATCTCTGAAAGTAAAGAAAGGACTTTCATTCCTGATTCTCAAAAACTATTGAAAGGTTGTTTTAGTCGTTGTTTTACATTACTTAAAAAAATGCATATTTTCTTACCTAACACACTCCAACCTTAAAAGGAAGTTATTAATTGAAGTTCAGGAGGGATAAACACACAAAGTCAATCTCACCCAGCTGTTCCTAATCATAATCATTACTGAATATTGCTACTGTATATGCTGTACAGTATATAGTGTACAGTATACAGTATATAATGCAAACACTTCTTTTCACATTTGGCTCATATACGTTAGTCTTCATCCACCTCATCCCCACCTTGCAGCTACCGCTTGGTTATTTCCTCTGTTAGATTGGGGTTCAAGCCTCCTCATCCTATGTCCAGGGGGCTACCCTTAACAAAACAGGTTAAACCAAAGCTATCCTACCTAAAATACTCATACATTCACAAAGCATATGATTCTAGGATTTAGAATACACAAACATATTTATTACTCTCTTTCTGAAGGTTCACTAGAGTGTGAATAGTGTTTTCTTTTAAAGTGTTTCTCTTTTGTAGTTTGTTTCCATGATGCATTGGAATACTGTCTTTCAGTAAATTGCCTTGTAAAGTACTTTGGGTGAATAGCATTGCACATACAGTAATTAGGCACAGTGCCATTGTGAAGGAAGCACACCGTACTGAAGACTTACTGTAACAGCCTTTGACAGTTGGTTCTGGTCACCGTAAAGAGAGACTGTGCAACATTTTAGTAGATTTGTTGGAGTACACTTGCCTCAAATGGAATCCAAATTTAAATCGCCCAGGCTTTTTTTACAATCACAAGTATGGTATGAGGCAGATTGTCACCCAGCCACTTGTGCCTGGCACTGTACTGTAGCTCAAGAATAATCCCAACCAAGTAAATTTACAGTATGTTACTGAGAAGTATATCTTCACAATTTTGTATGAACCCAGACATATGTTTCTCCTTTTGTGTTACACTTGAGTGCCATTGCAATCAACCCTTTCTTTGTTCTTTGGTTTTATCAACAAGATATCAAGACCTTCTATTTGCAGTTTTATCAAAATCATTTTTAAATGTCTATAAAATAACAACATTTTTCAATGTGTATAAAATAATAATGCTTTGTAAAATGGCAATGATAATCACGCGCACCATTTTACACAGATATAAAATACCTCATAAATTTGAGGTTTGTGCTAAGGCCATTTAATGTTTATTGAAACAAAAGGATATCTAATATAATGCAATTATGAGATTATACATTTTGGAAGTTTGTTCACATGTCCCCAAAGTTTTTGGATGTGAAATAAACTAAATATCTCTTTATCCTGTTCTCAGTATTTTGGTTTACTGGATGACCATATGGCTTTTAGATGCCAGGCTATAATAAACTGATATCACTATGCAGATTATCAGGATATTCCATGTAGATTAAAATAATAAGGCTCCAAATAGAAGCCTGAATATACAGTATGCTAATCCCAGAAACATTGGATTAAAGCATTATGCCGAGCTGTCCTGTGCCAATTGAGTGTATGAGAGCTTAATATGCACAGAAGCTTTTAAACCATGTATTAGCAAGATAGACAAATAAGATTATAACATGCTGCTGAATTTTGATTTCTTTTTCACAAAGACATTTTTCACCAGCTGGAGTAGATGTATAATATTTTGTTTTCTTTGAAGCTGTGATTCTTTTTAAGAAAAGTATATTCAATCTTGCTAAATATATACTTTATACTGTGTATAAAATGTGTTTAATTAAGTTTTGGTCCATGCAGTCACCATTCTGTTACAAGTACAGCACTTTCAACACCTGGTACACAACTGTAAGACCAAACTGATGATCTTGGAATTGTGAGGTAACAGTACTAGTTACAGTACCACATTAACACTACACCCTTTATTTTGCAAAATATTTAATGGGTGTTACATTTTGTTGAAATTTTGGCTGAAACACCCACACAGGATGCCTGACTTGTGTGTATACAGTATATCTTATTTAAACAGCCAACTATATGTTTACTGTTCACAGTGGAGACTTTTAAAATATGATTCACTGTATAAAAAACACAAATACATAGTTGTTTCATCAAGGTTAATTTTTGTTTCCTTGTTAAATTATGTAAAAAAATTTGTAAGCATTCACAGAATAGAAAATTAAATTGCTACAATATTTCCTATTACACTACAGTATGTCTTACAACCAAGTAATTTGAAAGGTTACCATTTGAACTACTGTGCCTTTCAAAAGTATTCACTTCCTTCCTTTGCTTACTTTTACCTTATTTCAGCCACAGAAGCATTTTATTTGAGCATTCAAATTTTGATTAAAATATTGACTTTACAATATGTGAATACTGTACCTCATTTGAAATTCAGCAAAATGATTCATTTGAAGTGGATGATGCATTTGCAAGACATTGCAATTTCTATTTTCTGTTCTCTTTAATGGAAATAAGACAAAAGCAAAAGAACATCACTTAAAACATTAAAATAATCTCGACCTCCCCAAAGTGGTGAGTTTTGCACATTTTTGAAATTCTTGAGGTGGGAGGTACACTCACCAAAACACAACCGTAGAAGGAGTGTCTCATTTTAAAGTGGGATAGAAATTTTATTTTCATAGCAAAATGAATTTGACAAGTCCTTGCTGACATTGTGTGGGAGCTGTCTATCTTAGCAGATAGGTCATGTGGAATAATACTTCGTAATTAGCTAGGAACATTTGGTGCGAAGTCAGCATGGGAGCTGTTGTCATCTGCTCCATGCTACACTGATAAACTATACAGTAAGTGACAGAATTAATAAAGTATGTCCACTGACCACAAGCATGCTGTTGGCTGTCAAAACTCTGTTTTTCTATTTGCCTGGAATGTAATTAAGTTAAGGAATCTATGCTGTGGATTCAGCATTTCATATTTTCATTCACAAAAGAGGAGAGAAGAGAGTGACAAAGAATGAGGGATAGAGAGAGAAGGCACTGACCTGAACTGATAGCAAGAGTTTGCAGTAGAGTAATTCTTTCAACCATATTCTACAGATGAAGTGGCGAGAAGTTAGGTGCTTTGATGTGGGAATCTTTTAAATAACATACATTGTATTGTCTGCAGTAGAGAAGTGGCATGAAAGGATAATTGGTAATAATCTATCTGAGGTTTCACTTCTCCTGTCAAGGAAGGCATCATTGAGAGTCCATTAATGAGAAATCCAAAAAACAGAAGGGACATTAGATTTTTACTCCCTGACATGCTGAATTTGGTATCCAATTAATCAAGTTTCTAAGATGATGGCTGAATGGTTTTAGGGATGTGAACTTTTATGTTTTATCATTATGTTGTTTTAAGTAAAATACAGGTTTTAGCACTTTAGTTTTCAGGAAATGTGAAGCAATGTTGGGATGTGTGTCAGTATACAGTATGCATGTGTTTTGGGGGGCACAGGAGTTTCATTAAACATCAGGATTGTAAATGGCAATTATTAAAATCCCCTATGAAGACAGAAAGTTTAACAAACAATAAGTTCTATTTTTCTTCACACTGTTGCATTATTCTCTTAAATAGGATGTCTTGACTGTTTATTTTACTTCTGGGCTCTTAAATTATGGAAATGTTTTACATTATGAACTGAAACTGGAGCTGCAAGTCTTAAGAAGAAAGTTTAACAGGAAAAATATGCATTTTCTGAATCTTATCTAAATAATGTTTTCTGGTCAATGAAAGTGAAGATTTTCCATTTTTGTTTCAAATAGTGATCCTGAGACCACAGATCTGCATATCTTTACGTGGAGAAAGCTGAACAAATAAGCATGGATATTTCTTCATATTTTACAATACCTGTGTTTGGGTTGTCAAATTTTACTTAGAGCAAGTGATATTTAATAAGTGCAGGTGATATTCCAAAAAAATAAAGTAACATGGTGTCAACACATTTTTGACCACGGTACTATTTTCAATATGGTTGTGACATAA